CATCACAGGTGTCATACTTGACCGCAGGTCAAGAGCTGTAGTTCCAACAATGCAAGATTGCAATGCTGTTTGCAAATGGACATTTGAACCAGTCAGTCATCAATCCAGGCAGCAATGCCTTGCTTCTCATAACAGATGAGGTTGGCTATAAGCACGCTGTAAAAATTGTGTATTTTGATTGCAAAATAGCTAGGAATCGATTACTGGGTTCACACACACCCTGAACTAATCTATACACACCCCTAATCTATACACCTCCTTTAATTCCTTTTGTTAGATTTAAACTAATACAAACTCTCGAAGGTTTATCGCCATTATTTCAACAGTGTCATTCTCTGCATATCCCATTAGACCAACCATTGTGACAGAAGACTGTCTACATCAGTAAGCTGTGTTGCTATAAATCATCCCACAACACTATGCGATGACCTACGTAATGTATCATTATAATGACTATGTCAAGATTCATGACCCTTGACCAAGAGACCTTCCCTGTAACAAGAAGAGAAGATAATACAGTTACAATACACATGCCCTGACCCCTCTGACATCAGAATGTTATCTCTACCCTCCAAAAGCAAGCCTATCATCACAATGCAGAAATCTCCTACATAGCAGACTTCTATTCAAGAGTATTTGTTTACCTCATTAGTTTATCACTTGTGGGATACTGACAGTCTCCATTGAGACGAGAGTGCACAGTGCTGAATGAGAATAAACAAAATCGCTCTTCCTGATTAAACTTTCAGAGGGCGGATTTACTAAGAATAAATTGATAGAATTGTCTATTTTCACTCACGGTCTGTGCTGTTTTAGCACCCGGTTCACAAAAGAAATTATTCAAATCAGATAACAACACAAAATGCTGAAATTCAATTTGCACAGCACAGTTCTCTGAGGTGTGTTTTAATGCTAGGTTGTGCACTGTAAGAAAAAACATTGTAGATAAACGGAAAAGGTACTGTTAACTTTCTGCCTGGACATCATCTATGAAACTTACAGACATTTCCTTTAACCCTAAAACACATTGCCATGTGTAATTCAAAATATGAATAGGAAAAAAACACCTGGGAACATTTATATGGAAAATTCCTTCATAAAAACACAGCACACATGTTACTATTTTTACAGGCTTATCTTAGAGTGTGAAGGATGCAGAAGACTGCATGATCTGAAATACTCTGCCTGATCTGCACAGCATCGCTTCACCATCACTGTCATCCTTCTGAATCAGCTCTTCAAAGCATACACTAGCAGAAAAAAATTGCTGCTTATTAATAGTTAGTAAGGAAATTGTAAAGTTTATTATTGGGTAGGATTTGGGTGCAAAATATGGTCATGCAGAATATGTGCTTTATAAGCACTTATTAAACAGCCAATATGTTCATAATAGGCATGCTAATAAGCAACTAGTTAAATAGCGAGAACTTACTAAAGAGTTACCGTGAGAATTAACTAAAGTGTGACTAATACAAACTCACAAACTCTCAAAAAAGGTACATATAAGTATCTCAGAGTAAGAGATTACTACAGCCCTTTTAGGGGTAAATCAATGTGTAAATATATAAATACAGTGCATCCGGAAAGTTATGTTATAGCCTTATTCCAAAATGGATTAAATTCATTATTTTCCTCAAAATTCTACAAACAATACAGCATAATTACAGTTTGTTTGAAATCTTGGCAAATTTATTAAAAAAAAAATCACATGTACATAAGTATTCACAGCCTTTGCCATGACACTCAAAATTGAGCCCAGGTGCATCCTGTTTCCACTGATCATCCTTGAGATGTTTCTACAACTTGATTGGAGTCCACCTGTGGTAAATTCAGTTGATTGGGCATGATTTGGAAAGGCACACACCTGTCTATATAAGGTCCCACAGTTAACAGTGCATGTCAGAGCACAAACCAAGCCATGAAGTCCAAGGAATTGTCTGTAGACCTCTGAGACAGGATTGTATCGAGGCACAGATATGGAGAAGTGTACAGAACAATTTCTGCAGCACTGAAAGTTCTAACATCCCTACAGTGAAGCATGGTGGTGGCAGTTCATGCTGTGGGGATGTTTTTCAGCGGCAGGATCTGGGAGACTAGTCAGGATTGAGGGAAAGATGAATGCAGCAATGTACAGAGACATCCTTGATGAAAACCTGCTCCAGAGCTCTCTGGACTGGGGCGAAGGTTCATCTTCCAACAGGACAACAACCCTAAGCAGACAGCCAAGACAACAAAGCAGTGGGACAACTCTGTGACTGTCCTTGAGTGGCCCAAGCCAGAGCCCAGACTTGAACCCAATTGAACATCTCTGGAGAGATCTGAAAATGGCTGTGGACTGATGCTCCCCATCCAACCTGATGGCGCTTGAGAGGTTCGGCAAAGAAGAATGGGTGGAACTGCCCAAAAATATGTGTGCCAAGCTTGTAGCATCATACTCAAAAAGACTTGAGGCTGTAATTGGTGCCAAAGGTGCTTCAACAAAGTACTGCGCAAAGGCTGTGAATACTTACAGTGGGGGAAAAAAGTATTTAGTCAGCCACCAATTGTGCAAGTTCTCCCACTTAAAAAGATGAGAGAGGCCTGTAAATTTCATCATAGGTATACCTCAACTATGAGAGACAAAATGAGAAAAAAAAATCCAGAAAATCACATTGTAGGATTTTTAAAGAATTTATTTGCAAATTATGGTTGAAAATAAGTATTTGGTCAATTTTATATATTTTTTTTTTTTTATAAATCTACTTTCACGTTGTCATTATGGGGTATTGTTTGTAGAATTGAGGAAAATAATGAATTGAATCAATTTTGGAATAAGGCTGTAACATAACAAAAAGTGACGCGCTGTGAATATTTTCCGGCTGCACTGTATGTCCCTTTAATGGTACTGCCCTATTGACAAGCTGTTATACCTCCTGAAGGTAAAAATAGTTTTTCCCAGTTTTGCTTTGTTTTAGGAGCCCACTCCTAGAAATAAAGGTTCCTTATTGGCATCTAAGATTCCATGAAGAAACTTTAACATCCACAACTGGAAAGATTCTATGGATGTTAAAGTTTCTTCAAAACATTTCTTTAAAACAATTTAATTTGTTTAATTCAATTAAATTTTAAACCATCTGCTGTCAATGCATGTGTTCAGACCATCACAAACATTTAACCTTTTTTCCATCACAATGCTGACCAAGCAAGATTCGTGCTTTTTGTCATATGATCTGCTGAAAACTATCACTTGGTGACACTCACTCAAACTGTTTAATGCATCTACATTTTCTCTCTACAATATAGACAGAATAATTTGTACCACCACAAATACATGCAGCAGTAATAGCTGACTGATGCTGTCTTTAATGATAGTGGACATTGTTCTTGGCAGCAGGCTCCAGTGCAGATTGTCTGGCAATAAACATGACAGTCCTCATATACAGCAGGAAATAAGGTGTAATCATATCTGTCTTTTAAAATCATTATCCTCTTTATGGCTTTTGAAGCCAAGAGCCCTTCCTGAAGGACTTAATAATTTTTTTATATAAAGATGTTGCTACATTGTTGCTGTGGATGTTGGATATGCTGTAATTAATGTTTATTAGTGTTTACTAAGCAGTAAACACTGTACATATACAAGCAATGCTTTTTTATAAGCATTGCTTATAAATATGCACACAAAAGCTTATATTTAGGTAAACACCTAAATGGACGAAGTTAGACGATTAAATTAGCAAAAAGAATTCTCATTTAATGCCATTGCAGAAAACCAGAGCCATGTCTAGAGACCAGAATATCATCGAGGCTTAGTGGATGGACTCTTTTCACTTGGACCAGCAAGTAACCACCTAGCAACCACCCAGACCATTCTAGTAACACCCTGGCAACCACACACCTCACTATGTTTTGCACGAACATGCACAACTCACATTTTCTGCTTCTTAAAAAAGTAAAAATCTCTCTGATGCTACTGTTAAATTGGTTTAGAATAAATAAAAATGTTAACATGAATCTATTAGATAGATTCATAAGGCACTGTCCTTTATTGTAATCAATTAATTGGCCTTAAGCTTAAAAAAATATCAGAATCTGTTTGAACATTAAAGCTTGTAATACCTCTGTTAATAACAAGGAACATGAAGGAATATCACAACAATGCTGATGGTTGTACACACACACACACACACACACACACACACACATATATATATATATATATATATATATATATATATGTGGGGGTGTGTGTGTATGTATATATACGTATATATTTATTTATTTATTTTTTATCTGTCTGTGTGTGTGTCTCAGCAGACATTCTACTGACTATAAGTATCTTTGCAAGTACGTCAACTTATTCTAACCCTAACCCAGTCTACTAATACTCTACTAACACCATCAAAATAAAGTGAAACCATGTGTGTTAATATAATGAAAGTGAAATGCTTGTTGCCAGTCATTAATAATGTAAATCAATCTTTGTCACACAGTCCACACAGATTCTAATAAAAATAGTTTTTTTTTGTAGGAAACAGAAAACAACAAAAGTTGTGACCCAAATGACTTACTATATACTATGTACTTATTCTATGCACTATGTACTCTACTGTCTAGCCCTCCAGTACGTTTAAAGCAAATTAAGTGTCCAACATTCCACACTCTTTCCACTGTTTGTTTTTTTTCCCCCTGCACATGCAACATCTAGGCATTTGAAGAGCACTTTTACTTTTTGGAGTTTTCAGTGTGAACACGATAATCACACTATTTATAATAAAGTGGCATAGAATAGTGAAAAAAGTATGCAAATTAGGATGCACCTAGAAAAACGCTTTTATTCCATATCCAAAACTTACACCTAAGGATCGTTTAAGAACACTAATATAAAGATCTTAACATCCACGAGTCCTGTATGGTTGTGACATGGTTAGGAAAGTGTTTGAATGATTAAAAAAGTTGAAAAAATTAAAAACAAGTTCCCGATACTTTGGTTAAACAAAACTGTCTGCACTGTATGATCTTACTGTGGGCTGTGTTCCAATAGCAGCCTGAGTGATGGTAAGTCCCCTTTAGCTGCAGCATAATGAACAGGCAAGGCCCCCGTATCCGTGGCAACAGTAGGATCCCCTTCCCCACTTTTCAGCAGCCAATCAATGATCTCATGATGACTGAAGCGAGAAGCCAGGTGCAGGACAGTGGCCCCTGAGCTGTCCTTATCCTGTAAACAACACAGAACATAATAAATAACACATTTAAACTATATCACACAATAACTCGCAAGCGGCTGGAATACAGAAATATCGATACATTTCTACATTTTTCAAGGGCAACAATGTGCATGTTACATGTTATAAAGCACTGACAGGGAACATGGGTGTATTTTAACAGATTTATTTATACAGTATGAGACAAAATTTGAATCATTTTCAGTACATATGCAGCCGAGTCTCTGCTGGATCCTATTTAACTGGCCAAAGTTTTTGTAGTCATTCAACTTGCAGTGCAGGTATGAAACACAATAATGTAACGTGAAGCCCTGCTGTAGACGTCGCGCTCCCCATTGATGGCAGAGATAACTTCCACTACTGCATGTGCACAGAAGGAAAAAAGGACAACAGCAGGAGCTCTAGTTACTTGTTCATTATGACAAACACTTTTTTGAAATGATGAGGTGAGGTGTACCACTAGACCTAGAACAATATTAATGTTACTTTAACACGTATATTTAATTTCATTTTAATCAAATTTTAAAAAAAATTATCAAAACAAAATTCTAGCAAATCTGCAGAATATTTTTTAAGTATTTCATTATAATACCAAAAGACAAAGGTTCATTCGAATCAGGACTACTAAAAGATAAAGGATTAAGTGCTTTTTGAATCCTTACACTCTTAAAAAATAAAGGTGCTTCACGATGCCATAGAAGAACCTTTCCCCTTCAGGAACTCGAGCTGCGTCGAGTCGCTTTGGGAACGCCCTTGTGTGACCGCGTTCTGAAGCACGTGTCAAATCCGTCCAATGGAGCAGCGAGACGTCACGAGCAGGGTGACGTAAGCACCAGAAAGCATAAAAGCACATCCGGCCGGGCGCAAACCAGCTTCTGCTCTTCAGTAGCGCTCTGTAATGAATTTCAAATATCTTTCATTCAATCATTAATTTTAATCTTGTTTGGAATCATTAAATCTCAAACCATTGTTTTGCTATAATGAGTTTGTTTACTTTTAAATAAAAATAGAAAAGATTAATTTATAATTCATAATGTGATTCTGTTATTTGAGTTGACCTAAATTCTTTAAATGCATCATTTTACATAGATTGTGGTTTAATAAATAGCTTTCATTAATGGCATTATTGTTTTTTACATTTATAGCTACACTAATAAAATTCAAGGCATTGATGTTTGCCTTATCAACCACTGGCTCTGCACCCCTTTACCTCAATTCACTGCTTTAGACTTATATGTGCCATCTATGCTTGCATTCTGCAAGTGAACGATGCATTATAGTGCATCCCAAAAGGCACAAAATCACTTTCACGGACTTTTACATTAACTGTTCCCTTCTGGTGGAATGTCCTACCAACTCAATCCGAGCAGCTGAGTCTTTAGCCATCTTCAAGAAACGACTAAAAACACATCTCTTCCATCTATACTTGACCCTCTAACACTAGCACTCTCTATTCTATTTCTATTCTATCTACTCGTTTTCTTTTTGTTTATTTATTTTTAAAAATAAACACTTCATCCTTTAACACTTGCACTCTTTACAATACTTGCTTTCTTTTTATTTAAAAAATAGAGCCTCTAACACTAGTATTCTCTATTCTTTTTCTATTCTGTGTACTTGTTTTCTTTATAAATAAATAAAAACCTTGCTACACTGCCTTAGGCTAACCAAGACTTGTCATAGCACTTGCATATTATTGCTCTTTTGTTGTTTTGATTGCTTCTGTTGTCCTCATTTGTAAGCTTTGGATAAAATCGTCGGGTAAATGCCTAAATGTAAATGTAATAAATACATTAATACGAATTATATAAAATGTAATTTATACATTCTGTAAAAATGCATTATTCATTCTGGGACATGTTTACCTTGGAGGGTTTGTTGTCCCAGGTTGGCCCTGTTTTTTCTTTCTTTCTTTCTTTCTTTCTTTCTTTCTTTCTTTCTTTCTTTCTTTCTTTCTTTCTTTCTTTTTCTGTGCTATGACAGCTAAATTAGCAAATGGCAATTTGAAAAGGTTTAATAGAAAACGTTTCTACGTTTCTGCCCTGCAAAATGTATCCATAACGTTTACTTGGTGTTCCTTGTTTTAAACTCTGAAAACGGGAGACAATCTAATTTGTCCCAGTGGATGTACGAGTGACCCGAAGCTATTTAACTTCCGATATTGTACTTAGATTTTGCTTTTAGGAAATTAAGGGTGGGGGGTGGGGGTAGAAAGAACTTTTGCGTATTTTTAATGTTCTAGCCTTCTTTTTATGTAACCGATACGCAACACCCAGTGACTCCATATGCGCAACAGACCTATTTACTTGTCACAATTATTTTCGAATGCATATTTTAAATGGGGTGTTTCTGTGACCCGCGTTTTCTTGTTCACTTTCATTTATGATTTAACATCATGCTGTCAACATCTTTGTGTCATCAAAGATCTAGGTCACGCCAACAGTTAAATGAGCTTTGTCTCATCTTTGTCTAACGGATATATTCAAATTCCTCACAAATTACTCGTGTGAAGTAGGCTACCAAATGCAATTCAGACAGATAATCTAACGGTCATTCCCTGAAAGGAAGAGAGCATGGGAGCCTGGGAAAAGTGGCGTTTAAACTGCACGCGTCGAGCGTGTGACAGTTATTCAAATTTCCCTCCAATTAGGCCAACCGAAACTCCATTGTAGTGGCCATCTGCTGCCAAAACCACATGAGACTGTTCGCAGATATTGTTTAACCTCATCCACAAAGAGTGGGAAAATCAGACAGTGCACTTTGGTATGCGCAATCTGCACATTGACACACATTAACGTGCATCACATAAACCACACTCTGATTACCAAGTTTATTTTTATGAAGGATAGACCTACTAGAGTATTTCATGACAACTAATAATTGAAAAGCTATGCAATGCATGCAACTTCTCCTGCATGCACTGAAAACTTTCTTTCTTTCTTTCCTTTTATTTTAACATTGATGCAAAGTGTTAGCGCGTGTTGATGATGGTTTATTAAACCATATACAGGCTATATATATACATATATAGTTATTAATTATATTTTATTTTGTATTATTGTGTATTATATTACCTAAAGTATATTTTGGTAGTGCGATTTTCTGCTCCATCTCAAAATTCCTGCGCAGGTTGTTTATCTGCCGTTCCTTCACACATTGCGGGCTAAACCCATCTGCTACACTGCGTGTGCCATTCATTAGCGCCGGTTCAGCCAAGAGTTTGTGTCTGTGTTTATATGTACACATATGACCTTCTTTATTCATCTATTTGATCACTGTTTGGATAGTAGTCGAACAGGTTTATATGTATATAGCTATAATACAAGTTACTGTATTTATATTAGGCTATATGATAGTTACCTCAAGGAGCAACCTAGTCTGGCTTGTCATACCTTAATTAAGTTTAGATTAGGGATGCACAATATTTTGGATTTTTGCCCAATATCCGATATTTTTCAACTCATTTTGTCCGATAGCCGATGCCTATACCGATATATTTATTTTTGTTTGGAAACAACACCAAGTCTCTCCTGTGCTGAAATTTTAAATATAATTATTTTTAATTTGTTAGAATTAAATAATAATGAAGTTCTTTTATAATGACAGTACATTGAAAGCTTTGAAAATAATTATAAATCAGCTATATATCAATCGCTGCATTTTTTTTCAGAAAGATGCAGTGGCAACCTTAAAATATTATTTTAAGATTTAACATTTGTAGATGGTCTAAGGCAGTGGTTCCCAAGCCTGGTCCTGGAGGCGCCCCAACACTGCACATTTTGCATGTCTCCTTAATCAAACACACCTGATTCAGGTCATCAGCTCATAGAGTTGAAATTGGTGTGTCAGAGAAAGAAGATATGCAAAATGAGCAGTGTTGGGGCACCTCCAGGACTACGGTTGGGAACCACTGGTCTAAGGCAAGAGTTGTAAAAATTTTGAAAATCTTTTAGAGCTCATGATTCGTTTTAAAAATACATATTACACATTAATTAATAAATCTGTATATAAAATGATTTAATTTACAAGCGTCATGTTTGTGATTTATTTTAATAATGTAAGCTATAGTTTCTGATCTTTGCATTAAAACATACTCATGATTTTATGACATTATTGTGCTTTATTTATTCAGAAACACAAGTTTCTTAGTGATATTTGTGTATTTTACTTTCATTTAGTTACAAGTAGGCCAACATCGCCACCTATGTAAATACAACGCCTTACTTGACGGGCATTAGGACCCGGGGGAGGCTGCCGCTGCTGCTGCTGCTGCTGCTACTGCACGCGCTAGTGACTGTTGACTGTACCACACACCAAATGCATCATCTTGTACATGTTTTCTCAAATTAAATGCGGCTATCCAAAACAGTGATCATCTAATCATCATTAAGGCAAAAGTTTGGGGGGGGGGGGGGGGGGGGGGCTGCGGGCCACAAACGATGCACTTAAACACCCATATGTTATAGCATTACTTAAGTTATGATTTCTATTGGGAAACAGCCAATAAAATTTCCCTAAGTTTAGGATGCTTTATGGAACTGCTTCCCACGTGACTACAGCCCCCAAAACAGGAATGCTTTTGTTTTAAAAGAAACTAAAAGAGCACTTTCATACAGTAAATTCTTAACAGTGTCCTGGTAATTCAATTGAAATCCAGAGATACAAATAGATGCTTCTGACTTCTATGACCCTGCATAAGTTAGAGGCGGTCTCTTCAAAACACAGAAAAAACATGGCTTTAAACTCTTTAAGGCAGCAAGGTTATAAAGACAGTTTTACATGCAGAATTTTAAGTCTTACATTGAAACTAGATAGCAAATTGTTTTTTGCTTAACATAACTAATACTTATTACACGCTAACATAACTAATTTTGAAAAAAATTACTATGTTTTATGCTGTTTAACACTGTAATAATCAAAGATTAAAATACTTGATCCTGATAAAATCCCATGCATGCAACATTGTTCAGTAACGTTTAAATCGATCCGCGAGTAATGTGTTGGAATATTAAATGTTTTCAAAGTAAAGCATAACTATATATAATACTTTTTAGATTGAGTAGATGAGAATGTCATGATCTCACAAGACAATGGTCACACAAGACAACAATGGTGATGTGTTTATGACAAAGAGATTATAATTAGCC